GCAAATTTCCTAAACTGTAAACTCGTAAACTGAGGACCATTATCTGAGATCACTTTATCTGGTTGGCCATAATGTGCAAACTGCGTCTTGCATCTCTTAATGGTAGTCTCAGCCGAACAGTCCGTAAGGGGATCGATTTCCCAAAAGTCAGAATAATGATCAACTAATATTAGATACTCTTTTCCTGTATAGTTGAACACATCCATACCAACAATCTGCCAAGGACGTGATGGTATCTCATGTGACATCATGGTTTCTCTTTGTTGCAAATATGCATATTCATTGCAGGTGGAACAATTGCTAATCAATTGCAATCAAGTCTTTGATTTCGCCCTGCATATTGGGTCAGTAAAGTGTGTCATGGGCTTGTCTATAGCATGCCTCTCCACCAATATGGCTCGAGTGCATGCGCAATAGCATCTCTGCTCTCATTGACCTAGGCACTATGACTCTTGGGCCCTTATACAAGATCCCATTTTGTATGGCGATCTCATCTCTGAAAGACCAATATTCCCTCACTATTGCCGGAACTGCCTCCTTCTCATCCAGCCACCCACTCATAAAAATAGCCTTCAGTGCATGTAAAGTTACATCAGTACATGTTGCCTAAGCTGACATAGCCAGTGATTTGTGACATTAAGATAGTCTGCTTGGTTACACTTGGTTTCCTCCAAGTGTCACCTGATCTAATGTAGCCCTACTCAGGGTATCACTAATATACATTTCACATCCTGGCTTGTAGACAACATTAAGGTTGTAATTCTGCAAACTAAGCATCATGCTCTGCAGACATTTGGGCGCACACAAAAGGGGCTTCTTGAATATGGCTATTAGCAGCTTGTGATCAATTTCAGTTATGATTGTATCCGGCCATAAAGATAATGATGGAAATGCTGGCAGGCAAATACAATACTTAAGCATTCCTTTTCAATTTGAGCATAGTTCAACTCGGCAGAAGAGAGCACTCTGGATGCGTATGCGATCGGCTGACCTTCTTGCGTTAGGCAATATCCTAGGCCATTTTTGCTCGAGTTACTTTGGATGGTAACAGTCTTTGTAACATTGTAATATTTTAACACTGGAGCAATAGTGACCAAGCGTTTTATTTCCTGTACTGCCTGCCCGTGCTTGGGGAACCAATGCCAAACTGCATCTTTGTCCAGAAGGCGTCTCAATGTCTGACACACCTCCGATAGGTGCAGCAGAAATTTTGTTAAATAAGTAACAAATCCGATAAATCTCTGCACTGATTTAACATCAGCAGGCAGTGGCATCTCCGCAATGGCTCTAATCTTATCAGCTTTTAAACCTCGTGAGGACAAAATATGCCCATGGAAGCAGACTTCGTGCACCTTAAATTGCAACTTCTTTACACTGAGCCTTAACCTCATCTGCCTACACCGATCTATTAGTGCTATTAACTTCTCATCATGATCATGCTCAGCTTCTTCGTCTGTTTCACCACAGCCAATTATAAGAATATCATCAGCTATTGGCTCAATTCCATCGAGCCCACTCAGTAATTCATGCTGCTTTCGTGGATACACCTCTGGTGCTACCAAAACTCCAAAGGGAAATTTAAGCCATCTCTTTCTACCCCATGGGGTCTAGAACGTAGTCATGTAGCTACTCATTTCATCCAGTTTGCCCTGTAAAAAGGCGTCTCTAGCGTCAACAAGCATAAAAACCCGTGCTTTGGGTAGTTTGTGCAAAACGTCATCAAGCGTTGGCATTAAACAATGTGACCGCTTCAGGGCCATATTCAGAAACTTGGGATCAATGCAAATTCTAATCTTCTCCGGCCTCCTAATAACAACCATGCTGCTTATACAGTCAGTGGGCTCAGTTACTGACGTAATATGTCCTTCCGCCTCGTATTTATCCAGTTGTGCTTTAGTCTGCTGCTTAATAGCTATAGGCACATTGCGTGGTGCGCTTTGTACTGGGGAAATAGCAGGGTCAAGTTCAAAATGAACCTCGCTTGGAACAGATATTATGTGGCCCTCAATCACTTCCTGGTATACTTGTGGAATTTGCTGGTTTGTCAATGGCCCCACCAGAGATTTAGGGGGGTAACTCACAACATTGTGTAACTCGGCCGGAATGGTAAACTGCATCAATCCCAAGTTCTCACATGTTGATCCTGACAATAATGGTTTCTCATCAGCTTCCACAATCTCAAATTCAAGTTTATAAATATCCCCACGTATGCTGCATTCTGTTTGAAATTGGCCCAGTAAATTCATTAATTCTCCTGAATATAACTTCAGTTTAGTACTGCTAGGCTGAAGAAGTATCTCGGGTGCCAGTTTCATTTTGTCCTTTAAACTCATAACATCACAGGTTGCACCTGAGTCCAGCTGGCAGGGTTAAATTGTGTTGTTAAACCTGAGATTCACAAACCATTTTTTGCCCTTGGAATGTATTGAGCCAATACATTCTTTCCTATAAATCGCATCAGTGATAAAGAAGGATGCATCCTCCTGAGATGCATTCTCCAAGTCTAACGTTTGCTCAATTGTATGCAGCTTCCTCACTTCCCTTTTCCGTGCCTGATACACTCCTGCAAAATGATTTAGCCTCCCATACACTCTGCAGATTTTCCCATATGCTGGGCACTGCTCTCTCATGTATGTGCATACTGCTGCAATATTTGCATGCTACTTGATTGTTCACAGATGAATTATAATACTGCCTTTTATTCTGATATTTGTATTGATAATACTTGGCTGTTGTTTAGAGACTATTAATACAATCCTTACCCAGCTCTATGACTCTCAGCCATTTGTCAGTAAATTCTATAGTCCGACACAACTCAATTGCTGCTTGTAGGCTTAAATTATGCTCCCTCAAGAGATGGCGGTGTGTGCTTTCACTAGTAACGCCCAAAACTATTTTGTCCTGAATGAGCTCATCCCTTAAGGGGCCATAGTCAAAACTGGCTGCTTTTTCCTTTAAACATGTGACAAAATTATCTATCATTTCACCTTGTTCTTGCTTGCAACTGCCAAATATATATCTTTCAAAAATAACATTTTTGAGAGGTCTGAAATAAGTCTCTAAAGTGTCTAGAATAACTTTGGTATCTCTTTCTTGCTCCACAGAAAGGGTTAAATTGTATCTGTAGATATGGAGGTATTCATTGCCCATCAATCTCCTTAATGTGGCAGCTTGAACTGTTGCCGACTTCTCTTCCAAGCCTGTAGCTAAGGCATAATCTTTGAACTCTGCCCTGAACTTATTCCAATTGCTGCCACAGTCTCCATTAACCCTCATAGGTTCAGGCAGAGGTATACTGTTAGCAGCTACCATACTTCCACTGCTTAGCTTTCGGGAGTATGCTTCAAATTTATCCAGAAGACATGGATTCAGGCTTCTGACACCATGTTTCAAGTAGGTTTAATCATAAGTAGAAGAACCTCCAACAAGCCATCATTACAGGTATATATCTACTTATTTATTTATTTATTTATTTATTTATTTATTTATTTATTTATTTATTGAATTTCTATACCGCCCTTCTCCCAAAGGACTCAGGGCGGTGAACAGATTAAGATTTCATATACATATATACATAACCCTTGTAACAGAATACAATCAAGATCACATAAAGTGTTAATATCACTCTATAATGCCTTGGTAAAACCAATACTGCATCCAGTTTTGGTTGCCACGATAAAAAAAAAAGAAGTTGAGGCTCTAGAAAGAGTGCAGAGAGGGGCAACAAAGATGATTAGGGGACTGGAAGCTAAAATATATAAAGAACAGTTGCTTTGAATTGGGTATGTCTAGTGTAATGAAAAAAAAAGTACTAGGGGTGGCATGATAGCAGTGTTCCAGTATCTCAGGGGTTGCCACAAAGAAGAGGGATAGTCAAACTATTCTCCAAAGCACCTGAGGGCAGGACAAGAAGCAATGAATGGAAACTAATGGGGGGGGCGGAAGCAACCTAAAACTTAGAAGAATTTTCATGACAGAACAATTAATCAGTAGAACAACTTGCCTCCAGAAGTTATTAATGCTCCAACAGTGAAAGTTTTAAGAAGAGATTGGACAACCATTTGTCTGAAATGGTATAGGGTTTTCTGCCTGAGCAAGAGGTTGGACTAGAAGACCTCCAACGTCCCTTCCAACTCTGTATTTCTTTTCTATTGTTTGCCTGATTTTTTGAAAGTGACTTTATCATACAACTATCAACCAGATGTATCAAGAAATTCATAAATGGAACATAAGATGATTCCTTTTCATTGTTGCTCTTTAACAATGTTACCTTTGATTTTCAAGAGTATTTAGCTATCAAAATTGATAGACATAATTAGACCTTTTCTGTGTGATTTTGTTCAGTCCACTTTGGTAGTCATGAATTTTGAAAAGAAATAATACTTTTAACAAAAATAGACATGAAACTATATTTTTCTCCTTGTTATTTTGACTTAAAGTTTGGCATATTTCATTACTGATACTATTGTTTTATTTATCCCATCTTTGAATGAAAGAAGTCCTTGATGTTTTCTGAGCTTCGTTGCTTGCTTGTAGATGTTTTATTACCGACTAGATAATATCATTAGGATATTACATAATTGACTAATGAAATGTCTTCAAGCAAATAACCAAGTTCAGAGAGAACCAAGGGCTACACAGTTCAACCCTGAGTTATTATATTCTCTTCTATTTGTCTATGGAGATTCTCAATCATCCAGGTCATGGTTGTGTCAAAAGTATTTTTTTAAAAGGCAACTTTTAAAGAAAGTCCAGTTGCTGTTTGAAAAAGCTCTTTTGAGACATGCTCTTCTATTGGCATTAATGACAGTTTTCAAGTCTTTTTAAATCAATATAAAATTAAGTAGTCATAATGATGTGAATATTATAATTACTGAGATTAACTTTAGTGATTAAATCAGCATGAACTATGTTTTAAAATAGCTTGATGTAATGTTTTAAAACTTACAACTGAAATTAATAATCACCTTGATTAAGTGCCTAACCATTTCCTTTCACAGTTGTTTGGATGGATTTTTTGCAAAATCCAACCTGGAACACTTGTTCTTGCAATTTTGGCAATGATGGCATTTGAGGGAATAGCAAATCTTCAAAAAGAATGGAGTATTGTGGGAGAATTTAGTAATTTGCCCCAGGAAGAATTACTGTTGTGGATAAAAGCAAATACTAAACCAGGTAAAACAAGAGTAGAACAACTCCTTTTATAGCAATGTAGTATGTAAAATCTATTTGAAGGCTTAGCACTTTTAAGTGCTTAAGTGCTTAACACTGAACAGTTTTTCCTGGTGCCTTGATTTCTTGTGATTGCCATGTAAATGATACAGTTTAAGAAAAAACTGTCTTTATAAATACTATTATGTGGAATTATAAAATGTATTTTGAATGGAAAGACATGTTTTAAATAGAAATAAAACCTTTAGAAGATTATGTTTAATTTTTTTAATTTTTGTGGTTTGGAGGGAGAAGTTGTTTTTTTTTTATTGCAAAAGTTTTACAATTACATTTTCACCCCTTTTTCCCCCCCACCTCCCCCCCCCAGACTTCCCAACCTCCCTAACCCTCCCTAACCCTCCCCTCCCCCCAGACTTCCCTATAATATACTCATACTCATAAAAAACCCTTAATATAACACTTATATATTTTTAATCAACTGTACAACCTAGAAATGTATGGTAGTTTCTAGTTCTTTTTCCAATTATTCCTGCATTTTTAGATATCCTGTTATTTCAGATGCTGTTTTTGCTGGTGCAATGCCCACAATGGCAAGTGTAAAGCTATCTGCACAACGACCTATTGTGAATCATCCCCATTATGAGGATGCAGGTTTACGGTAAGGCTTAAATACATATTTTAAGGTTTGTTGTGATTGATGCATTATAGGAATTTTCTAATTGTAACTATTAATATGAAGGTAAATAATCTGACACAGTTGAACAGGGAGGGAAAAAAAGTTATGTTCATAATAAAGCATATTACTGCTATTAATTGTAGGATACCAATATGCCATGAATAATTCTTGGTACTTATCAGTCTCCTGTCTCACTCTCTTTGTAACATTTTTAAATATTTTAATTTGCGGCAGAATTTAAAAGAAAACAGGTACAATTAATATTTTCCTTTAAATGTGGTAGGAGGAAATATAGTAAGTAGATGATATTTTAGAATGCATTTATTATAAGCAGCAACTTCATCATTTTATCTTTTAGAAATTGGTGTTTTGTGAAAAGTAATACTCAGACTACTGTAAGACCAATTTTATGAATGAACAACCTCCCCCTTAGATATTTATTTTAATTTTGATTATTTGGAATGAAGGTTTAAATAGGGAATTTGAGTCAAATCAGTTAGCCAATTTCAAGTAAATGTGTTAAGTCACTAAAGCATTATAGTAGGATTATGCATTGTTATTCATTTGTTTCAAATAGATAAATAAACATATATTAACATAACATAAACATTAAGGATACCTAAAGGACCATCTTCTTCTAGTTGTTTCTACTAGTCCAGTTTGGTCAGGCATGTTGGGCATGTGTAAATCCTATCAGTCAAGGAATATTGGGTTTGGGAACCAGGAGGCATGCCATCTCTGTTGTAGCCCCTGTCTTCTGGAATATTCTCCAGATAGTAGAATGATTCCAACCTGTTGGCCTTTCATAAGGTCATGAAGACTTGGTCATGGGCCCAGGCTTGGAATTTCAAATGTGTTAAGGGCATGTATTTTTATCCATAGTAACAGTTTTGCTTAGTGCTGTACATATTTATTTTGTGCTGCTTTAATTATTTCAATGTTTTATTTGTTTTTATGTTTTGTAATGAATGCTGTCCCATGTCATTTGTTGAGATGGGTGGCTACAGTAAGTAAGTAAGTAAGTTAAGTAAGTAAGTAAGTAAGTAAGTAAGTAAGTAAGTAAGTAAGACTGATTTAGCTTTATCATAGAGAATTGGATGAATTGGTAAATATTTTGTTTCATTTAGGATAACAGACTCTAAGAACCACTCTATTTAAGACAGGAAAGCACAAGATTTGTAACTTTGCAAGAACATCCATCATTAAAGGGGAACTCATATAAAACATAATGTCTAAAAAGTATTTTTTTTTCTCTACTCTTCTTTAAATAAATTTTAATCTCAGTTTTGATTTATAAGAAGCAGTTCTTTACTGCCAAATTATTTTTATTTGCTGCTTATTATTTTTCTTGTTAGTTGTGATGTTTCTGGTCATATGAGCAGCAAATATAGATAAGAAAAGTTCTATTCTTTTTTCTCTAAAAACATATTCCCTTAAAATTATACACCCTTAAACTCTAGATATGTAAAACCAATTAAGACATTATTAACAAAATGAATATTTGTATTTAATTAAAAATTCTTAATAAAAATAATATAACAGATATAAAGTTAAGTTCAAATTAAATTTAGCAATTGTGCACTTCATGAAGATATTAACAATCCTAGTTTACATAGGATAATTTTGCCTGATCTCGATTGCCATGATTTCATTACCAATTTGTTCAAAAGTAATTTGAAAATTGGTAGAAAAAAAAGGACAATGGACAACTTTCTAAACGTTCTTTTCATCTTTATGTAGGTTCTACTGCAGCATCTACTGCAGTTCTATATTGCTTTTTCTCAAACAACCAATTTTGACATAAAAGATATGCTTCCCTTCTGTTTGAAGTGAAATGCACTTACCTTTGCTACCAGTTTGGGAGTGGTGCATGTGCGCCTCTTATGCACATGTGCGCCTCTTATGCACATGTGCAGAGGGTCAAAAACGGACATAATGACACCCTGGCAGGTGGGCGGAGCCTCCCACTGCCGGCACTACCGGTTTGCGTGAGAGGGATAGATCCGGCCGGATTTCACCACTGTTCAGTAGACAAATACATTTAAATGTAGTAAGTACTACTATCTGGATCCAAAAGAATGTGATAGTGTACAACGAATCTTATATAGGAATTTATCCAGTCAATATTTTATAAACACTTTTTATAAAGTGTTATAGCAATAACACTTACACTTATATACCATTCAATACTGCTTTAAAACCCTCTCTGAGCAGTTTACAGGCTCAGCATATTGGTCCCAACAATCTACTCATTTTACTGATATTGGAAGGATAGAAGACTGAGTCAATCTTGAGCTGGTCAGGATCAAACTCCTGGCAAGGGCAGAGTTAGCCTGCAATACTGCAACACTTGGTTACTTGCTATAAAATGTTTGTTTGTTTCTTTAAATATGCTATAAGAAATTCTTGGCCAGACTTCCTTATAAACTTGTTATGACTTGAATAGAAGTTTGATCACCAAATCCAGGTCAACATCTTCTCCCTCGAGCAAAGCTTCATCTGCACATGCACAGGATCTAGATCAGTGATGGCTAACCTTTTTGCCATCGCATGCCAAAAGCGGGGGGAGTGGAGGGGGTTGTGCGTGCCCACACCTATAATTCTGTACACCCCGCACATACATGCGCAACCCCCTGCGCTCCCCCCATTTTTGGCACACGATGGCACGGTAGGCACGGTAGGATCGTTTTTCACTCTCCCCAGGCTCCAGAGCCTTTCTAGGAGCTGAGGAGGGCGAAAATGACCTTCCCCATCCCCCGGAGGCCCTCCGAAGGCTGGAAATGGCCCGGTGGGACCAGAAGTCAGCAAACGGGCCATTTCCGGCTTCCGGGGGGTAGGGAAGGCCGTTTTCACCTTCCCCAGGCTCCTAGTAAGGCTCTGGAGCTTGGGGAAAGGGAAAAACGGGCCTTTCCGACCCCCACTGGAGGCAGAAACATGCTTCCTGATTTCCAGTGGGCCCAGAAGGGCCAAAAATCAGCTGGCCGATGCACACATGCATGCCAGAACTGAGTTCGTGTACCCACCAATATGGCTCCACGTACCACCTGTGGCACGCGTGCCATAGGATCACCATCACGGATCTAGATTGTGTGTGAAACCATATGCCTCCCCTTCCATTCCTTAGTCTTTCTGAGCCCGTTTTGAGATGCAGATTCATAGATTAGATAGAAGATTCTAAAGCTTCTTTATCTTGTCCCAACGCTCCTATCAGCCCTCAAAACTTTTCCAGGCACTCTTTTGCTTGTACTTGCAGTTGTTTGAATCCACTGCCTGTAAGAAATAATTTCTTATGTACCATCATCAAAACTGAAGAAATTTCCTAATAAAGACTTGTAAGGGACCTGCTGTATTTAGAGCAGAGCAGAACAGAACAGAACAGAACAGAACAGAACAGGAAGGGACCTTCTAGTCCAGCCCCCCACTCAAGCAGGAGAACCTATACCATTTCAGACAAGAAGGACTTTTTCTGTGGTAGCTCCCTCCCAGTGGAACATCACTCTTGAAGAGATAAAATTGTCCCCTACCCCCTGATACCCTTTCAAAAGGCCTGAAGTCATGGTTTTGCCAGCAAGTCTGGGGACCCCAGGGTGACACAGAGCCCATTGTGATCATTATTGCCAGGGGGATAAGGGTTTATTGGGTTTTGTATTTGGGCTTTTACTTCTGTAATCTTCCTGGAGTCATTGTGAATTAGGCAATCATATACACTTTTATGAAAATAATTTTTTCAAGGAGACCTCACATCCAAGTTGTATCCTTGTATGATCTTTTGCCCAAGGATTACTGTCATTCCTTAATCACTTCAGAGACTCTTCAACCTAAGCCTTTTGTTTTGCCATTAAACCATGGAAACTGCTCCATTTACCACCTAGTGGACCTCAGGCCTATCTCCCAGCAGGTATTGATTATATTTCACCATTCAAAAGATCTTTGGTAGATCCGTAACTCTTACATATTAATTCATACATGATCACTTGCAGAATTTCATTTACAGATATTAAATTATGTTCAGTATCCATTTTCTGATTTTTCTAGCAAAAGATTATATACTAATATATTTCCTAGATCTTAGTTTCCATATTATTAATTTTATTTATCTCCTTTATAATTTAATAGATATCTAGGGTTTTACATTAATGAGAAGGTATTTTTTTCTATAAAAATGGATGCAAGAATAAATTATCTAGGGTACCTCTTCTATCACCTCTTCAATCGTAATCTTTTGCTTTTCTGCAAAGGGCAAGAACAAAAATCATTTATTCCATGTATAGCCGAAAATCCGCAAAAGAAGTTAAAAGAGAACTATTAAAGATGGGAGTAAATTACTACATTTTAGAAGATTCTTGGTGCCTGAGGCGAACTAAGTAAGTATTTAATAATAAAACTGTAATTGTTTCTCTCAATATTCAACGAACAGAATGCTGCTCTTTAACACATATTAGGAAAGTTTTGAGATTGATTGATTGTTTGATTGATTGATTGATTTGTCAAATACATATAAGATAATAGATATAAGTATAAACATGATTATGAATACAGGATAAGGATACAAATAAATGGGGCAAGGGCAAGGACAGTAGGCACTTTTGCATGCTTATGCACGTCCCTTACAGAACTCTTAGGAATGGGGTGAGGTCAGTGATGGGATTCAAAAATTTTTACTACCAGTTCTGTGGGTGTGGTTAGGTGGTCATTTGACTGGGTGGGCGTGACTAGGTGGTCATTTGACTGGGTGGGTGTGACCAACTCGACATCACTCACATCAAAGCGGCCTTGCCGCGTCCGACCCCTCGCCTCACCCAGCCACTCCCCTCATCTCCAAAATTTATATGCAAAATGGAATTGCTTGAGAAACTATGATTCCAAGTCACTTGGGTTTAAATCTGATTTAAACTAACCTAATCCACCTTCATGAGTCAGGTATCAAAGATCTACAAATCTTTCTTTAGGTATACCAACCGTATCCCATTACTACAATCTATTAAAACTATACAGGTAGGCCTCAACTTATAACCACAATTAGAATCAAAACTTCTGTTGCTAAGTGAGGCAGTCATTAAATGAGTTGTACCCAATTTTATGATCTATTTTGTCACAGTTGTTAAGCAAACTGCCATGGTTGTTAAGTGAATCCAGTTTCCTACACTAACTTTGCTTGTTGGAAGCCAGTTGAAGAGGTCGCAAATGGCAATCATTTGACCTCAGGACACTGCAACCATCATATATACTTGCTGGTTGTCAAGTACCTGAATTTTGAGCACACAGCTGCAGGGATTCTGCAATTGTCATAAGTGGGAAGATCAATTTTTTTTTTTTGTAAAAAGTTTTTTATTTTTTTCCAAACATACAAATTACATCCTTTCAGAACAGTCATCACTTTGTTCAATTTTTAACAAAATCTTTAACAAAATTTTATCTATACTATTTTGCCACAGCACTTATTTCTAAATCTTATATCACATATTCAACTAATACTATCTTTAAAAAATTAATACATATTTACTTAATCAAAACAATTACCCTTCTATTAACCCACCTTAATTCTTAATTCAATTAATAACTCATAATATAACAATTCTTACCCTAAATCCTCACTATTAACAATACAGTTCAAACATATTTAAATTTCATTATGCTCATTAAATCTTTATTCCATTATTACTTTATCAAATTTAAATCTTATCTTTTTAATTTTAGAAATATAGCAATTTAACATTTAAACATAGTTTTAGTTCAAATAATGCTCTTTAACACAATTTCCCAATTATCCTAAATTCTATCTATCAAACCATACCATTTATATAACGCCAATTAAGTAATTTTTTTATTGCAAAAGTTTTACAATTACATTTTCACCCCTTTTCCCCCCCCACCTCCCCCCCAGACTTCCCAACCTCCCTAACCCTCCCTAACCCTCCCCTCCCCCCAGACTTCCCTATAATATACTCATACTCATAAAAAACCCTTAATATAACACTTATATATAAACTTGAACCCCTCCCTCCCCTGTATAATTTTTCTCTTTACCTCATTACATTAAAATATTTCCAATACATTATTTTCAAATAAAAGCTATTTGATACTTTCTAGTTTGATATTTGTTCTGAACATATTCTATCCACCTTTTCCATTCCCATTCATAAGTCTCTTGTGAACAATCTTTTAAATATGCTGAAATCTTCGCCATCTCTGCAAAACTGGCCATCTTCAAAGTCCATTCCTCGATAGTGGGCAAAGCTTCATTCTTCCAGTATTTACCTATCAACAATCTTGCTGCTGTTATCATATACAATATCAATTTTGTTTCACCCAATGTAAAACCCTTAACTATACCCAATAAAAACAGTTGTGGAGAAAATTGAATTTTTTTCTTCAAAACATTCTGCATGACCCACCAAATTTTTATCCAAAAAGCCTTAACTTTCCTACAGGTCCACCAAACATGATAATACGTAGCATCCAAACATTCACATCTCCAACATTTTGGCTGAACATTAGGGTACATACATGACAACTTTTTGGGATCTAAATGCCATCTATAAAACATTTTATAGAAATTTTCCCTCAGGTTCTGCGACTGTGTAAATTTAACATTCTGAACCCAAATTTTTTCCCATGTTTCCAACATCACTGGTTCTTCAAAATTTTGTGCCCACTTAATCATACAGTCTTTAACTAATTCAGTTTCTGAGTCCCTTTCTAGCAAAACATTATAAAGCCTTTTGATATGCATTGGACCTTTCTCTCTTATATGTCTAACCAATTCTTCCTCGTGCAACATAATACCAGTTTTTTGGTCCTCTTTCCATCTCAATTGTAATTGATTATATTGTAACCAAGTTAAATTAATCCCTTCGTCCAACAGTGTCTGCAATATCTTCAGCTGCCATCTGCCCGCATCTGTAAAAAGAACCTCTTTGTATAAAACCCCCCCGAGTGACATTATATTTGTATTCCACAAAGTATGACCAAGATCCAGCCATAGCGGTATTTTATAATCCCAATTAAGTAATTTTTGTTTATAAATCATAATCATATATTGTTTCAGTTTTCTTTTCTTTTTCACTTAAGTAATAAATGTTCAAATTATCACAGTTGTTATACATATTTAAACAATATCCCAATTATTATAGCTATCAATTTTCTAATTTAACCTTTTCTTTTATCCTTCCACTGTTAATCCCAATGTACAAAATACATCTTTATTCCACTGTTAATCCCAGCGTAATCATCTTTATTTTTCTCACTGTTAATCTCAGTGTAATCATCTTTATTCACTGTTAATCTCAGTGTAATCATCTTTATTTTTCTCACTGTTAATCTCAGTGTAATCATCTTATTTACTGTTAATCCCAGTATAATTATCTTTATTTTTCTCACTGTTACTCCCAACATAATCATCTTTTACTTTTGTAGTTATATTATTAAAAATATTCAAATTATAACAATTGTTATAGGTATTTAAACAATATCCCAGTTATTATAACCATCAATTTCCTCAACTAGTATCTTTAAACATCTTAATAAAAAATTGGTTCATTATATCCATTGCTATATTTCTTTTAATGTAATCTATTTTCCATATATTTTAGCCTCAATCCCTATTTCATTTCTAAATATCTGTAACATAATTCTTCTCCTATTTGTTTATCTCAATATAGTCATTTTATAAATCCAGTCCTGGACTTTAAATTTCTTAATATTTTCCAATCTTTTATTCTTTTATCATTCAGTATTAATCTCCATATAATCATTATTATATCATTATTAATCTCAGTATAATCATCATTGTGTAATTGTTAATCTCAATATAATCTCTAGAGACCTCCTTTTTATTATTAGTATTCACATGTTCAATTATTTGTTCATATTTAAACACAATATCTTTATCTTCTTTATTTTCTAATTCTATGTCTTATTTCTCCATCTTCATTTTCTTGTCCACACATGTATACTCCATTTTGATTTTTATATCCTCAGATTTTGTCCTCTGTGCAGTTATTTTTTTTATCCCCATTCTCCAAATCAAATAGTTGCTCCAATTATAAAAGTTCCATTATATTCCCTTCTATTTCTTTTTTTAGTCCTCCAAAAGTCAAGCCTCTTTTAGACAAGAAAATCCTCCTCCACAACGTTCCAAAAATGTTCCTTTTTCCTCTCAATTCCTCCACCCTCCCCCCCTCCCCCAACACAATCCTGTGAATTGAGTTGACTGAATGAGAATAATTGGCTCAAAGTCACCCAGTGGACTTTCATGCCTAAGGAAAGACTAGGCATGCTTAAGTCATGGTCTTCTGTTTCTATGCTGGTGCCTTAAACCACTTGAGGGCTATTTGCATAATGTATCTTTATCTTAGTTATATATTAAAATTCAGATAAATTATTCCAGTAGTTTAAAATGCACTTCAGAACAATGATTTAAATTAAAAGAATTTTATAATCTTGTGGGAAATAAAATGTGATCTTATGCTTTTACTGTAGTGCTTTTATTTTAAATATTAAGATAAGTTTGGTCACCATGAGATTTCCAAAGTATGAAATTTCAGAAAATTTTACTGTTAACTTGTGGAAATGGCTTGGCTGCAATTTTAACTGATAGGGTAATTAGTTTAACCTTTTTGAATTTTAATGTAAAAAAGAAAAGCTTCCCATCCTCTTCTCTACCTAAAATGGCCTCTAGAAAATAGTGTAGGAGAGTTTTGTTAAACACTGAGGCCTATGGCATAGTGGGAAGCTGCTGTGGGAATCACTATATATGACTTTGATCTAACACAAAGGAAAGTTTCTTGCTCACTTCTGAATACATTTTTCTATGCTCTATCCACAATGTTCACTACCGCCCTTCTCCCGAAGGACTCAGGGCGGTGTACAGCCATATTAAAACACATAGATTCATAAAATTTAAAACCAAATTAAAATCAATATATAAAATTGGCCCGCAAATTAAAACATACATACACCCATAATAAAAATCGTAATTAGGCCAGTCCGGCTTGCTGGAACAAGAGAGTCTTAAGGGTGCGGCAAAAAGTATGCAGGTCAGGGCTAAGATGGAGCTCTAGGGGCAGTTCATTCCAGAGGGCTGGTGCCCCCACAGAGAAGGTTCTCCCCATGGGTGTCGCCAGTCGCCATTGTTTGGCTGACAGCACCCTGAGGAGCCCCTCTCTGTGGGAGCGTATTGGCCGGTGGGAGGTTGTTGATGGCAGAAGGCGGTCTCGTATATACCCCGGTCCTAAGCCATGGAGCATTTTAAAGGTGGTGACCAACACCTTGAATCTCATCCGGAAGACCACCGGGAGCCAGTGCAGCTTGCGCAGGAGGGGTGTTATGTGGGTGCGCTGAGTCACACCCATAACCACCCGCGCGACTGCATTCTGGACCAGTTGGAGCCTCCGAGTGCTCTTCAAGGGGAGCCCCATATAGAGAGTGTTGCAGTAGTCCAGATGGGACATGACGAGGGCATGAGTGACCGTGCACAGGGCATCCCGGTCCAGAAAGGGACGCAACTGGCGTATCAGGCGAACCCAATAGAAAGCTCCCCTGGCCACGGCCGTCATATGATCATCCAAAGACAGCCGTGCATCCAGGAGAACACCCAAGTTGCGAGCCCTCTCTGTGGGGGCCAGGATCTCACCCCCAATAGTCAGCGATGGAGCCAGCGGACTACACCAGGATGCCGGAAGCCACAGCCACTCAGTCTTGGAAGGGTTGAGTTTGAGCTTGTTTCTCCCCATCCAGATCCGCACAACCTCCAGGCACTGGGACATCATGTCAAGGGCATCATTGGGGTGGTTCGGGGTGGAGATGTACAACTGAGTATCATCAGCGTACTGATGGAACCTCACCCCGAAACCACAGATGATCTCGCCCAGCGGCTTCACATAAATGTTGAACAAAAGGGGCGAGAGGACTGACCCTTGCGGCAAAGGTCAACCTCTGCCCCCCTGCCAACACAAACTGCATACGGTCGGAGAGGAAGGAAGAGAACCACGGCAACACGGTCCCCCCCACTCCCAACCCCTCCAATCGGCGCAGCATGATACCATGGTCAATGGTATCAAAAGCCGCTGAGAGATCTAATAGGACCAGGACAGAGGAGCAGCCCCTGTCCCGAGCCCTCCAGAGATCATCAACCAGTGCGACCAATGTCATTTCCGTGCTGTGCCCCGGCCTGAAGCCCGACTGGAACGGATCTAGATAATCGGCTTCATCCAGGTACTGGGGAAGTTGTGGCGCCACCACACTCTCAACAACCTTCACCACAAAGCGAAGGTTGGAGACTGGGCGATAATTGGCTAATACAGCCGAGTCCAGGGAAGGCTTCTTGAAGAGAGGCCTCACCACTGCCTCTTTCAAAGAGGGGGGGAGGTAGCCCTCACTCAAAGAAGCGTTAATAATCCCCTGGAGCCAGCCTCATGTAACCTCCCGGGAGGCCAGCACCAACCAGGAGGGACACGGATCCAATAAACGTGGCAGCGCTAAGCCTCCCCAGAATCCTGTCCACATCCTCGGGAGTCACAGTCTCAGAAGCCATATTCAGGGCTTCTATATTCGCATTGCATCTCTCTTACTGTATCTACATGTTGAGAGGAAAAAGTCTGAAATGAGAAGAACATTCTATATGTAAACTCCATGTAATTTAGAACACATTATGTAGAGGTCTAAAATGTGTGTGGGCCTACATACATAAAACAATGCATGGGCACTGACAAAGGGAGTGAATTCAGCCCCATTCTTCTAACAACTGAGATGTGAAGCCTGAGGTGGCTCTATTGACCTGCGTTAAAATGATACAGAATTCTTTCATTGCAAGATATGTGTCTTTGTTACTCATAATATTTATAAATATTTTTAGGCCTGGTTGCAGTATGCCAGAAATTTGGGACATAGAAGATCTTACCAATGCTGGGAAAATTCCTTTATGCAATCTCATGTGCAAAGATTCCAGGCCATACTTCAGGACAGTGTTCAACAATAATATATTCAAAATATTGGAAGTTACCAGAGAATGATTCTTCACTACTGTATCATTGTTGGCAGTATATGTTTTAAACCAGCATTTTAAAAAAATCTGCTTGAATTCCATTAAAAAATAAAAAGAATTTATGTTAATTACAGGTACTGTTAGATTTGACTTGCATTCCTGAGAATTCAACACACAAGGTTTTTTTTTCGTTTGAAGCAATTGAAGCTGTGTACCCATGTCACTGGATAAGATCCTTAGGAGTCCAACTGTATTTATTGAGAAGTAATGTCCAAAAAAGATGAAAATAATTTTAGTTTGGATCTGCAGGTGTTCTAAGATTCTCAATGGAATACCACTCTTTAAAATGTGAACAGTTTGGCACAAATTTGTCTCTTTCTGGGACAGTTATTTAAAATTTGCTATGCAAATGTTTATTGCATTTCAACGCTTCTTAATAAATACTGATCCTAAGAAAGAGAGCAAAAATATTTGTAGAAAATAATGCCAAAATCAATGAAATTGTGCAGGCGATGATTCCTAGCAAGAGTGTTGCAATTTTAAACCCTGAACAAATAAGAGTTGACAAAACCTAAAACATTTTCTCACATATAGTCATCATTATATTGCTAATTCAATTTTCTTTTCATGCTTCTCCTTTCCAAATAAGCATAGTTTTGTGGGGGGAAAAGGATGGTTTCCATGACCCTATATTAGCATAAATTGCTATTTACTTTATTAAAACTGAAAAAGTTCACTTATTACAACCTATTTATTTGTTCTGCTTTAAAATTCTGAGTACCTTAAAATTTACATTGAGCCAAATGATACATAACAAGATAGAATGCTTCTAAATTTTTTTTTATCAAAACTGAGAAAGCATTATAGTATATGTGATTAATCTTTACTATTCCTTTCTTTTTTCTTTATTTTCTTTTTCTTTCTTTTTTGATAAAATATTACATCCAAACCAGAATTCCTGGTTTGTTGTTTTTTAAGAAGCCAAACTTAGAATCCAACATTTATTCTTGGCTTGCTTATTGTCTTGAATCCAATTCCAAGGAATCCTTTTCTGAATAGTTTTTTAAACACTTTCACTGGTAGCAGAAACAGTTGAGAAGTAAACCACCCCGATATATATAGAAAGAGTATATACGCTTTTTCAATAGTTACTAAAATAGGACTGCTGAAATTCATATAAATTTATCTGAATTTTTCTACTATTGACATGCTATGATAAACAAAATAAAGTTACTGCCTGTGTTAATCTTTTAAAAACAGAAATTTTCCAGGAAAATTGTATTATTTTGCCTTAATGCAATAAAGGATCATCATTAGTCCTTGTAGAAAGTTTAATATAATAGGAAATAACATGTATTCTCTAAGAAATAAATTGTACCCACTTGGGAAAATGCAGTGTAAAACAATTATGCTTTTGTGTTATTCCATTATACATACACCTTAGAGTTACTTTATACCACATAAATTCCAATACTGCAGCAAATGTTAGGTAAGTTAAAACCGCATTCTCAGCCTCATTTTTATAAAACCCTTTTAAAACTTCAAAAATACTGTAGTCATTTCTGATTACCTGTACAGATGATGCAAAGCTTCAAAGCTTGGTTGCAGTTTACTTTTTTGTCCGGTACTATAGACCATGATTGTATACATTCTGTGTGTGTTTAAAACTGTTGAAAAACCTTACAAGTTGTTTAACTGAGAATGTTAATGTAGGGGTTTTTCCCCCTTTCAAAGCACAAAAGGGTAAATTTAAAATGTAAAGAAATGTATTTCCTATTGAGGATTGAATCGTAAACTAAGATCCATTCAAAAGGCAGGAAATTGGAGTCATTATTTTGTACTTAGATTATACTGTAGAATAGAAAATACTGTATTTTTATTGATTTTATGCCAATTGTTGATGTTCACTTTCAAATAAAAGTTTTGTTCATAATTGTGTTTATGTAAAAAGCATTTCACAAATAGCAAGTAATATAATATATAATAGCAAATAATGCTATTATATTATTTTCCAGAAAAACATTGAAAAACAAGTTATAAGTAAAAATAGATTAATCTGAAGTTGCTCACTAAAAATTATTGTACTTACATATTACAGAAAAGGAGAAAATTCTGGTAACTATATACAGTTGGCATTGCTGATTTCTGAATCATATTTAATTATTCCATTGGAAGCAATTACAGCAAATATGGCTACTCTTTTAGAAAATAAACATTTTAAAGAAGCTTGATGGATTTTCTATTTTGATAATTTGCTAAAGAATTAACTGTAGGAATATACATTCTAGAAGAGAAGATGGCTAATTTGATAAAACAATAGTCTTAAATGTAAATTGAATCACCTTTCAAGAACAATTTTAGAATGTTTTAATAAGAGTATGACTGTAACTCAGTGCTCTATCTTACTAATGTAAAAGGCAAAAATATACTCATTGTACCTGAGACAGTAAAAGAAAATATTACAGATTCTGTACTATTTTAAATTCCTATCAATGGAGTTACTTCACTCTGCTTATGTTAGCAGTTAAGCATACAAAAGAATAGGTGAACACAGAACTGAAGCAACCTAAACAAATTCAGTTCATTTCTGCTGTCAATGTGACAAATGCTTCCATTGGCTAAAATGTCCACAAAAAATTTTCTTTGAAGTAAAATTGATGGACCTTATAATTTCTTTATGTGGCAATCATGACAGAAATAGCAACTCAGTTTCATACAACTGAGAGTGACATTGTAGTGCAGCATACATTTTCTCAAATAATAGCATGTTTTAATAATACAAATATTTTATATTGCATATTATAGCATCCGATAGTAACTTGGCATAGAATTGTTCTAAGGTATCAAAGGTAAACTAATGTTCACAATTTAAAATTATGAAAACTCTGCATTGGCTACATAGTATTGACATTACAGATAGCCTTCGAGTTACGACCATAATTGAGCCCAAAATTTATGTTTCTAAGTGAAAATTTTGTTAAATGAGTTTTATCCCATTTTACGACTTTCCTTGCCACAGTTATTAAATGAATCACTGCATTTGTTAAGTTAGTAACATGGTTGTTAAGTGAATCTGAATTCGCAAAAACTGATTACATGACTCCAGGACACTGCAACCATCATAAATATGAACAAGTTGCCAAATATCTGAATTTTGAACATGTGAGCATGGGGATGTTGCACTGGTTGTAAGTATGAAAAACGGTCATGTCACTTTTTCAGTGCGGTTGTATCTTTCAACTGTCACTAAACAAACTCATTGTAAGGACTAGCTATATAGTAGATGGAGATGTGGTATGAAAAGATCTCCTTTGAATGATATGATATTGATTACTCTGGGTAGGGAAGGATATATTGCAACATATTGTTTGCCATCTTGCCAGTTGTGAGTTATGCACACAAACATACACCGCTGATTCTGTTCAAGTGAAGAGCTTGAACTGTATCTGCAATTCTTTTGCTTCAATCATGCATTGTGCAAATTGACAGAAAATGTTGTTTGATGTATTGTAGTAAAAATTATCTTTCTTATACCAAATTAATAAATAACCCGCAAAAATCAATCTTCTGATAGATTTACTGGATCAAGGGTCAACATGAACTGTTCTCTTAAAAATGAATGCTTGAAAGCATTCATTGAAAACATAATACCATGTTCCCCAACAGTGAAACCCGGTCTTATTTTCTTTTGGACTTGAAAATAAGCATTTGGGCTTATTTTCAGGGAGGTCTTATTTTTTTTAAGTGCAGGAGGTGGTGAACACCGAGGATGATAGGAGTGGGAGTGCAATTACCGCTGTCCCTGCCATCTCCATCCCACTGTCTGCTTACACTCAGCTGCAACGGGCCAGGCTCTCGGCATGCTCTGGCCTCCACCCACCCTGCCTGCTGGCCCAGTTGCTATTGGGACACTTCTCAGCTGTGGCGGGTGCCATGTTGTCTGCCAAGCAACTGCCCATGCTCCTGCTACGAAGAGCCTTGTGTGGGCTCTTCAGCCTCCTGGCAGTGTGGGTGGAGGCCGGGGCATGCTGAGAGCTTGGCCCCGATTGAGGCCACTGGCAAGCAGACAGTGGGATGGAGAGGGTGGAGCCAGTGGTAGCTGCCTAAACACTTTTCACCAGAAGGAGATGAAGTTTCGTCTGCTTATTTATTTTATTTATTTATTTATTAGTCAAATTTCTATACCGCCCTACTCCCGAAGGACTCAGGGCGGTGAACAGCCAAGATAAAATACAGATAATACAAATATTAAAAAATCCCTTAAAATTATTAAATATTTTGGCCGAAATAGAGGAGAGTTAGGCCAGGCCAGCCTGCTGAAATAAAAAAAGTTTTGAGAGCCCGACGAAACGTGCGCAGGTCCGGGATCCTCCGTATCTGGGGGGAGCTCGTTCCAGATGGTAGGTGCCCTCACAGAGAAGGCTCTCCCCCTGAGGGCCACCACTCAACACTGTTTGGCCGACGGCACCCTGAGAGGCCCCTCTCTATGGGAGCGTACTGGTCGGTGAGAGGCTATTGGTAGCAGAAGGCGATCTCGTAAATACCCTGGTCCGATGCCATGGAGCGCTCTAAAGGTGGTAACCAAAACCTTGACGCGCACCCGGAAGACCACCGGGAGCCAGTGCAGCTCACGCAGGAGGGGGGGTCACATGGGAGCACCACGTCGCTCCCATAACCACCCGCGCGGCCGCATTCTGGACCAGCTGGAGCCTCCGGGGGCTCCCCTTGAGGAGCATTGCATGTAGAGAACATTGCAGTAGAGAGCATTGCAGTAGTCCAGGCAGGAAGTAACGAGAGCATGAGTGACTGTATTTAACGAGTCCCGATCCAGAAAGGGATGCAACTGGCGAATCAGGCGGACCTGATAAAAAGTCCCCCTGGCCACGGCCGTCATATGCTCTTCCAAAGACAGCCGTTAGTCCAGGAGGACACCCAAGTTGCGAACCCTCTCCGTGGGGGCCAATGACTCGCCCCCAATAGTCAGTGATGGCACCAACTGACTATATCGGGATGTCGGAAACCACAGCCACTCGGTCTTGGATGGGTTGAGCCTGAGTCTGTTTCTCCCCATCCAGATCCGCACGGCCTCCAGCCACCGGGACATCACTTCAAGGGCATCATTGGGGTGGTCCGGGGTGGAGATGTACAGCTGAGTGTCGTCAGTGTACTGATGGTACTTCACCCCGAAACCACGGATGATCTCACCCAGCGGCTTCACATAAATGTTGAACAGAAGGGGCGAGAGGACCGACCCTTGAGGCACCCCACATACAAGGGGCCTGGAGGTCGACCTCTGCCCCCCTGTCAACACGGACTGCGACTGGTCAGAGAGAAAGGAGGAGAACCATTGTAGGATGGTGCCCCCCACCCCTAACTCCTCTAGCCGGTGCAGCATGATACCATGGTCGATGGTATCAAAAGCCCCTGAGAGGTCTAATAGGACTAGGACAGAGGAACAACCCCTGTCCCGAGCCCTCCAGAGATCATCAACCAACGCGACCAATGCCGTTTCCGTGCTGTACCCAGGCTTGAAGCCCGACTGGAACGGATCCAGATACGACGATTCATCCAGGTACTGGGGGAACTGTCGCGCTACCACACTCTCAACAACCTTTGCAACGAAGCGAAGGTTGGAGACTGGACGATAATTTGCCAACACTGCCGGGTCCAGGGAAGGCTTCTTGCGGAGAGGCCTCACCACCGCCTCTTTCAAGGCGGCAGGGAAGACACCCTCACTCAAAGAAGCATTTATAATCCCCTGGAGCCAGCCTCATGTAACCTCCCAAGAGGCCAGCACCAACCAGGAGGGACACAGGTCCAGTAAACATGTGGCTGCGCTCAGTCTGCCCAGTATCCTGTCTGCGTCTTCGGGCGTCACAGAATCAAACTCTTCCCAGATAATACTCACAAGACCTGCCTCTGTCCTCCCCCCTGAATCTACCCAGTCAGAGTCCAGGTGTTCCCGAATCTGAGCGATTTTGTCATACAGATACTGTACAAAATCCTCGGCTCTACCCTCCAAGGGATCCTCCCGCGCTTCCTGGTGGAGCAGGGAGCGGGTCACCCTAAACAGGGTGGCCGGGCGATTATCTGATGACGCAATAAGAGCGGCAAAATAGTTATACTTCGCCCCTTTTATCGCCACCAGGTAGGTTTTAATATGAGATCTTACCAGTGTTCGGTCAGATTCAGAATGGCTGGCCCTCCAACCACTCTCCAGGCGTCTTTTCCGGCGCTTCATCTCCCTCAGCTCCTCGGTGAACCAAGGAGCCAGGCGAGATCGGCGCCAGGTCAGAGGCCGCAAAGGCATGACCCGATCCAAAGCTCCAGCGGCCGCCCTATCCCAGGCGGCCACCAGCTCCTCAGTCGAGCCATGTGCCAGAGCCTCAGGAAATGGCCCAAGCTCCGTCTGGAACCTATCTGGATCCATCAGGCGCCTGGGGCGGTACCACCTCAATGGTTCCGCCTCCCTGTGGCGGGGTGCAGCGGTTTGAAGGTCAAAGCGAAGGAGGGAGTGATCTGACCATGACAAGGGCTCGATCACTATATCCCCTATCTCAAGATCACTCAACCACTGACCAGAGACAAAAACCAGGCCTAGCGTGTTTCCCCCCGTGTGAGTAGGGCCATGAACTAACTGGGTCAGGTCCATGGCCGTCATGGAAGCCATGAACTCCCGAGCCATCTCAGACGCCTCACCGACGGATGGCAGGTTAAAATCCCCCATGACCATAAGCCTGGGGGTGTCAACCGCCACCGCGGCTATAACGTTGAGCAGCTTGGGCAGGGCTGCCATTGTGTGGCAGGGAGCCAGGTACGTAATCAGCACGCCCATCTGTACCCCATGACCCCACTTGACAAGGAGGGACTCACATCCAGCCGTCTGAGGAACAGTGGCCTCCCTCGGACCAAGACCTTCTCTAATAACAACCG